CTTACAGAATGCCTCCAGTACACAGAGGAACTCGACAAACTCAACACACCCAATACCCACACGCAGCACTCGGACCGAACGCAGACACCACCTACCAAATTTGAACTTTTTTAAGAGAATCTGAATTGTTTGATTTAATTTAAATATTATACTTTCGAATATACATTAAAAAAATAATTGCAATTATTATAAAAGCAACAACTAATGGCCGTTGTTGCCGATGTTTTGTTTTAGATCAAAAAAGAAAAATAATAATACATGAATAGTCGCATTAGATACATTTTGGCATTTTGCGTTTCAATAATGTTCAAAATCAATATTTTTTTAACTTAAAATTAAAAGATATTTCATTATTATAACTTATAAGTATAGCTACAAAAATACATTCATCGCTCAGCGCAGAATATAAAACCCGTAATGAAGGTAAAAAAATTTATCACAATTCACAAGCCATGACGAGTATAAATAAATAAAAAAATATGAAACTTACGATTTTGTTTCAGCTATAAATTATAATGTTAATTTACAGCAGGTGTTATATAATATTTACTATCAAATAATTTTTTTATTAAACATCCATTATATAATTTTTAAATTAAATAGAAATGATTTGGTTTATATTTGTTTCTCTGTCATAAATAAATGCACTTATGAGTTTCATTTACTATATTATTGTTATTTTTTGTATAGTTTAACAGTTCAAATTTTTAAATCGTGTAAATAAAGCTTCATGGCATTTAATATTTCTAGAACTTCTTAATATTAAGTTACCACGAAATAAATGGTATTCACTTAAATTAAAAATATTTGTAACATACTCAAAGCGAATAGTGCACATATCAACTCCCACTTTTTATTTCTATGTTTTTTTTTTCACTTACTATTTTGTGCTCGTTCAAGCATTTCTGAATAACGCTAAATATTTATTTAAAAAAAACAAACTGTAAATTTTTAGTTTGCCGAATAGGTTTGTGGAATAATTTAAAAACGGTTTTTTTTTTCAAATTCATACATATTATTCAATGATTGATGTGAACCTAATTTGTATGGAAATTGCAAATATTGATCATAGCTTAATGCCTATACCTAAACTATATACCTATAATATTATGTTTACCAAAATAAATATCATCAGATTATAAACTCGAGTTTCATAATAATAACTATATATGATATTATTTCTATAGGTATGTACCGTATCCTTGTATTTCAATTCTAAGCGAACGTTTATAATGAAAAATGTATTACGTGACTACGTGAGGGAATAATGTAATATTTGTAAGTGTTATAGGCCATAATAATGGTATATTATTAGAATGTATAATAAGGTTGTTATTTTACTTTTTAAAATATTTGATAAATATTGATTTCTCTCTACATTTAACATAATTTGATTTTAGATTCTGAGCGGAGCGAAAGAATGTATTGGTATTACAATGATGTGTGTTTTTTTTCTGTCAGCAACATTTCTGATAGTAAGCATGCTTCGATTTTTGAGATCAGCATCTTTTTTGATATAAAAGTGAACCTATAGTTGGTACTTTTGAAAGGTAAAAATTGAAAATTCCAAGTAGTTTTAGAAAGCGTCGAGAAAAAGCGTTTTGTCTATGTTGCCAGAGAGAGCAAAAAAATAGTGCCCTGACACTTAATGAATAATGTTAATGTAAATTTTGTATCAAAACTTCAAATACGTAAAAAATATGTATATTATACACATAAATACATAATAAATATACCTAATGATAATAACCAGATCAGCAGATCCTCAAATTGCTCAAGTATACAAATGTCAAATACACGTTCTAGAAATGTTTGAGAATGCTAGGTAATCAGAACAAATTTTTTTTTAATATCTGTAAAATTTGTTGTAAAACCATACATTTATTATACCCTTGAATATCCCATGGGCCACGGCCTATGAATACATTCAACCTTTATTGAACAACGATCTAAAGTTATATTTTTAATTTGTATTAAATACATTTTGAAATTAATTGTTAAAGAAATTAACTAATTATTACTTATAGGCAATTTATGTTGAATAAGTTATACAGCGTTTCTCAACCTGTGGTACGCGGAAAGCTCATATGTGGTAGTGGTACGCTAAGAAAATCTATTTTTATAAAAAAAATGGAACGGATCATTAATTCATATTAAATATTATTTGGTATTAATAATAACATAATTAACAATTGAACATATTTCATTTTCTTTTTATTCATTAAATGCTTATATTATTATCATCATTTTGTAGTTCCTAAAAAAATAAAATTCCATACATGTAAAATAACATATACATTTTTGATAAGCATAAAAAATATTATTTGGTCAAGTGGTACATGAAAATGTTCAAACTATGTAGGTGGTACGCGAATATAAATAAAGGTTAAGAACCGATGAGTTAATACATTACTATTGTTTTTACTTTTTAATATGTATAGCTAAATAAATATAAATATTAATAAGACTTTAAACATACATTTTTTTATATAAATGTCATCATACCTGTACCAGTGTATCTGCTATTATATTATATGGTTATTATTACCTGCATAATAATTCAAAAACTTTCAAGTGTGTATACCTACAAATTACAATAGTCAAAACTACTATATTAATATGAGCATATTTTGGAAATGTAAAATGCTATAGTCTGTAATAGGTAGGTAATATTTATCTATAATTTGTTCAGTGGAAGTAAATATTGTATATAGGTAATAATATGAAATGTCAAGTGTCACATTTAAAATAGGTACACATGACCATACATAAGCATATTATACTAAACACGTAAAAACAAAACCTATATATACCTAATGAATCCATTACAATTACACATGCATGCACAAAGCACACACATATATATAAATACATTTATATATTTGTATAGATACTAATGATTTAATGTGTAGTATGAATGATAAATCTACTGATATTTATTAATATTTGTAGGCATAAAACAGTAAAAAATGAACTTAAATATTTGTGTATTTGACCTTATAGTTTTGTAAAACATGAATTATGTTAATTGTTTATTCCAATAGTATCAAAACAAAAATTAATATAGTATTTAGTCATAAATATCGGCATAAATGAGCCTGCAGCCATTCTACTTTTACCATTTTAAAATGAAAATTGTTTACAGTGTAAAAATTAAAACATAAAATTGTTTCTAAAACATACATATGAGTAATAAATATATATTGACATATTGTTGACTTTTAAAGCAAATGGTGATACACTGGTGTATTAATACGAGGGTTTTTTGGGGAAAAAACCTTCCCCATCGCCCCAAAATGTTGTTTGAAATGCCTTATTTTGGTCAGTTAAGATCACCCAATTTTTTATATAAATCTCCCAACCTCACCACAAAATAAAATTGTTTTTTTTTTTTTAATTACGATATTGTAGGTAGCGGTAATTTAAACTTGAAATTATACAATATACCTACATATAATATATTATCACCGACAAAACTGCTTTCAGTCGAATTTATAAATGTCGTAACACTCAAGCATAATATTTGTGGGTGCATTAATGATGGACAATAATGTTATTAAAATTCATAAATAATAATATGCCTATTTATTGTTTAGGATGGTCGAAGAATCTGTGTATACATTTCCTACATTTGAAAAATTGAGTGAAGAAAAGCACCTTTCTACGATTCATAATTACGCCTTTGTGTAAAATGAAACACCAACGGTTCTTTGTTTCAAAATAAATAATATATTTATTATTTTTACAGCCTTTCAAACGCTTTGTTTAAAAAAAAAAAAAATATTTCGGAGACATCAACAGGACATCAGCCCGCTTATCTCGTCCTAAAGTGGGCCCGGTTTCTTCACAGCCTTCGCAATAATTGAGTCTATACTTTATACGTGACCAGTGACCACGTTGAACGATAAACATTAAACACACGACAACAATATAGCCAAAATTCAGCAGTAAACGCGATAAGTTCCCTGTGACGCCAATACGTACTTATCTATATGTGGAAAAGTGCAACGGGTATTATAATATTAGGAGTGTACCCAATATCGTGCCCCTTGCCAAGTTTAGAGGTCAACGCGTTGCATTCCTACGGGACTGGTCACCATTTTTTTTCGTAATTTTACTACCCACATGATATTATTATTGTTCTACAGATTTGCCATACGAATGTAACCGCGTCCCGTTGTCATTTGAAAAAAAAAAACCATAAATAAACATTCACCGAACAATCGTTTGTATTCGGTCGACAGGAGGGACGCCCCTGCGACTTGACCAACCCGTTGCAGTACCTATATGAAACAATGACAATGTTGTCCGGTGACGTATCTACCCACCACTTTAAACCTACATGATTCATTCAAAATGTTCACAATATTTTTTCAAATATTATTTCGCTCTCAAAAACAACAGACTCGTAATAATTATTTGCATAAAAAAGAAGCTATATGGGCAGGAACAATCATAAACTAATTATACATAATAGACTTACTACACAGAAACGTATAATATTCAGCTATCTGTCCATAATCAAACGGCTCCTTGACTACGACGGTGGCCTTTGTACATGTACCGATTAACATGCAGCACTTTGGTATTAAAGTACTTAATGCTACTCACGCCATTATCGAGATCGGTGTAAAAAAAAATTGTCACTTTTCGACCACCCGACTTTACGGCACATTTGGAGGGAATATTGCGCACGGACGACGGACAGGTAAGCGGCGGTAGATACGGACTGCCGCGGTGTGTGAAATCGTCCGAGACACCTGCACACCAGGTACCTGAGAGGGCGGCGAGCAGGTACGATCCAAGGCAGCCAACTAAACAGGTCTTTAACCTCTAGAGTTACTCTACTGTACCATATAGGAAAACGACAGGACGCGGTTGGCTACAGTGATAACGACCTTCTGCCAACAAATGGATAGAGGTTTCGGTCCAGCAGTTCTTGTGCTGCATACGCAACGTAACTGTGTGCTGATTGTGTGCTGACGCGCTGTTCAGTTACGATGAAACCATCCAAAATGATCGGTGGCGATTATTCTCTAGAGCTGAACAACATATTCCACACGGGCCAGGTAGAGCCCGCCTCATGTTTCCAAAGGCTGTTCGGGTCCGTGCAGACTGGGCTCATACTCAAGGATATCACGTTGGAAGTTCGAGCTGGCGAAGTGATGGCCATACTGGGATCAAAAGGTAAAACATAATATCATAATATTGCAGCGTTCATCACCGGATACCACCTACTTTTATTGCTGTATTAAAAAAAAAACAGAGGCGTGAGGGATGCTATTAAATCATTTTGAACTCCTACAGTACTGTAATTGTACACATCTTATTACGCCTTCTAATTTAATTTCAATACTCATGATTTATTAGCTCAAATTAAAAATATCATATGATAGTAATTTCCATAAGCACAATTATAAAATTAAATTATCGTATTTATTAAATTATAATTAAATATAAAATATTTTGTACGGAAATAATAGTAATTGCTGTTTTATTTTAATTATTTAAAACAAACACATAAAATTGTTACGAAAGAAAGCTCAAAATCCCTGACGCTTTTAGCCTTGATCTATGTTTACATAAACAATATCGATCATAGCCGTTCCAAGGGGAGGGGGGCAAATGGGCCAAGTGCCCTAGGGCGTCTAAAGTATTATGAATTTAGGGGGCGCACTAAAAATGAATGATAAAAAGAAAAATTTGATGTTTTTATTTTAGGTATTATTTTTCTTTGTGTAAAATCAATGATGAGTACCTATCAAATTGTATACTATTAAATATAAAATAATGTAAATAATGTGTTAAATCTTAATGCGACATACCTTCAATAATATATTCAATATTCATAAAAACAAATAAAAATATTAATACTTCTAAATTATAAGACTACAATAGTAATTTATTTACATGAAATATATTTTAAATATGAATACACATCATCAAAATAATTATGTAATATACTTATAAACTAAACTAATTCATATCTTTGGTAGTATTAAATGTTTTAGATTCTGAGTGGAACGATGAATGTATTGATTTTACAATGATGTGTGTTTTTTTTTTTGTGTCTGTGTACACGATAAGTAGTCGAAATAATGCTTCGATTTTCGACTTAAGTATCTTGTTCGATTGGAGAGTGAATATCGTTGGTGCATTGGGGAGGTCAAAATTTAAAATTCCCAATAGTTTTCACAAGCGCCGGGAAAAACAACATAAAAATGAAGGAAAAACGGGAATTTTTACGCAAAATAGGTTTTTGACAAAATCGAATTTGGTTTTTGGTGTAACTTTAAAACAAATGACTGTAGGAACATGAAATTTTGACTGGTTGTTTATATTTGCCTTTTCTATACACGATAACATTTTCAAAATATTTTGATTTATTATGAACTGTTTAGGGACATTTTCATTTTCCATTTTTTTTTAGTTTTTTTTCTAAAAATATCAATAAAACTTTGTTTGTTGAGTAGAAATACTTGAAAATTTAATACAAGGTTCCTACTATATTGTTTCAAAGGCAGATGAAAAATATTAAAAATCGTTAGTCACAGTTTTTTTTTATAAGCATTTAAAGTTCAAAAATTGACAAATCACGAAAATTAGCAAATTATTTTGAGTTAAGTATTCGTAAAAATTTTTCTTTTTAAATCTAAGATTTGAAAATGTAATACAAGATTACTCATAAGTTTGTCTACCTTTATCAATAAAAAAATCTCTACCGGACAGTCAAATTAAATTTTTATGAGCGTTTGAAATTCAAATTTTTACAACATTGGATGTTCACTCGATTTCTCATGTAGCGATTTCCTTATTTTATTGTTATTCATAAACGAATAACTATAGATACATACAAATTTCACTGAATGTTTGTATAAGCATTTCCTATACACCATACAATTTTGAAAATATTTTGACTCTTTTTGAGCTGTTTACGGATATTTTCATTTTTAAATTTTTTTAGTTTTTTTTTTCTATGAATATCAATAAAGTTTTATCTGTTGGGCCAAAAAGTGTAAAAATTTAATACAAGGCTCCTGATATATTGTTACAATATCAGTTGAAAAATATTAAAAATACATAGGCACAGTTTTTTTTTATAAGCATTTAAACATCGAATTTTAACAGAATTTTTCAAAATCTCGAAAATTATTAATCATCGTAATTAATAAATTATAAAATAATCAGTTTTTATAGCTAAGGATTGAAAGTTTAAAACAAGTTTCCACGTAATTAGTTAATTCTTTTACCAAAAAATCTAAAAAATATACAATCACAGTTTATTTTTATAGTCATTTTATGTTCAAATTTGGACGAAATTACACATTAAAAAACCTAGTTATTTTGTTGTGATTATATAATATTATTCATGGGTACCTACTTGAAATTTCTAAAGTTTACTATTATATATCAATGATAGTATCAGGATTTGTTATTGATGTTGATGTATAACGTGTTATAAGTACCTAATGGATATTGTGATAATGTGATATGATTAATTTGGAATTTATTATAGGTCAATTTTTTTTTAATACCATAGATATGTATATAATTTGTCTTAAACCTAGACTGACATACCGTCTTCGCTCAGAATCGTTTTTCTTATACAATGATATTGTATCATTGAATTCAAATTTAATACCATCCATTATACAGTGACCCACTTGTAACCTACAGTACAGCAGAGCGACATCCACTTACCACCTTTTTTTTTATTTTTTTTTGTGTCTGTGTACACGATAAGTAGTCGAAATAATGCTTCGATTTTCAACTCCAGTATCTTGTTCGATTGGAAAGTGAATATCGTTGGTGCATTGGGGAGGTCAAAATTTAAATTTCACAGTAGTTTTCAAAAGCGCCGGGAAAAACAAAAGAAAAATTAAGGAAAACCGGGAATTTTTACGCAAAATCTGTTTTCGAGAAAATCGATTTTGGTTTTTGGTGTAACTTTAAAACAAATGACCGTAGATACATGAAATTTTCAGTGGTTGTTTATATTTGCATTTTCTATACACGATAACATTTTCAAAATATTTTGATTTATTTTGAACTGTTTAAGGACATTTTCAGTTTCCAATTTTATTAGTTTTTTTTTTTATGAATATCAATAAAAATTTATTTGTTGAGTAAAAATACTTGAAAATTTAATACAAGGCTCCTACAGTGGCGCCCAACCCTATTTCTAAGTGTAGCGGTCGCTACACCTTGAAAATAAGGGGTGGATGGGTATAATAACAAAAAATAATAAACTTTAAATATGTTCATAATTAATCACAGATTATATTGGTTGATACCTTAATATTTACTAATATTATCAATACAAATATGATAAAATGTATTAAATAATATAATTTTGAGTTTTGAGGGGGTGGGTGGGTGGGTAAAATGCTTTCTTGCTACACCTGAAAAATATATCTTGGGCGCCACTGGGCTCCTATACTATATTGTTTCAATGACAGATGAAAAATATTAAAAATTGTTAGTCACAGTTTTTTTTTAAGCATTTAAAGTTCAAAAAATGACAAAATATCGAAAAATCACGAAAATTTGCAAATTATTTCGAGTTAGAAATTCATAACAATTTTTCTTTTTAAATCTAAGATATGAAAATGTAATACAAGATTCCTTATAAGATTTCCTACATTTATCAAAAAAAAATTCTATAAGAAAGTCAAATTAAATTTTATGACCGTTTGAAATTCAAATTTTTACAACATTGGATATTCACTCGATTTCTCATGTGGCGATTTCCTTATTTTGTTGTAATTCAAAAACGAATTACTGTAGATCCATGAAAATTTCACTGAATGTTTATATTAGCATTTCCTATACACCATACAATTTTGAAAATTTTTTTAGTTTTTTTTTCTATAAATATCAATAAAGTTTTATCTGTTGGGCCAAAAAGTGTAAAAAATTAATACAAGGCTCCTGATATATTGTTACAATAGCAATTGAAAAATATTAAAAATACATTGGCACAATTTTTTTTTATAAGCATTTAAAGATCGCATTTTGACAAAATTTATCAAAATCTCGAAAATTATCAATCATCGTAATTAACACGTTCAACGCCGCCCGTGATTTCAGCAATTATACCGCGACGCCGCGTTGCAGGCATCCGTTGTAGTATCGTATATAACGCCAAATGAAACAAATTATTGTATTTTCAATATTATTAGTGGCAAAGTAGCCATATTGCATGATACAGTATGTTACTATTATTAAATAACAGTAGAAAAATTCATAATATAATAATATATCTAATATACACCCTGTATACGTTCATATACATTTTCTTGGGAAGGCCGTCAAAAACAACGATTATCAGTATCTAATAATAACGAAAACTCAAACCAATTATAGATTTAAATTTAGAGTTTATTGTCTACAGCCTGTGTACATTTCAGAGTTTATTAAAATAAAATCGATTAAATTATGGCGGATACAAACGTACATGTTACTGACGCGTAAACGCGTCACTGGCCCAATGGAATAAACTCTGTTGCCGCGTATACGCGTCAGCGGCGTTGAAAGTGTTAATAAATTATAAAATGTTCAGTTTTTATAGCTAAGGATTGAAAATTTAAAAAAAAGATTCTCATAAATAATTCATACTGTAGCCAAAAAATCTAAAAAATATATGAGCACAGTTATTTTTTACAGACATTTTAAATTCATATTTGGACAAAATTACATATTAAAAAACCTAGAATAACTATTTTAGTTATTTTGTTGTGATTGTATAATATTATTCGTGGGTACTTGAAACTTCTAAGTGTACTATTATATATCTATGATAGTATCACGGTCTTTTGTTGATGTATAACGCTTATATGTACCTAATGGATATTGTGATATGATTAATTTGGAATTTATTATAGGTACCTATTATAGGTCAAATTTTGGTTTAGTACCATAGATATATGTATATAATATGTCTTATACCTAGACTGACATACCGTCTCCGCTCAGAATCGTTTTTCTTTTACAATGATATTATATCGTTGAATTCAAATGTAATACCATCCATTATACAGTGACCCACTTGTAACCTACTGTACAGCAGAGCGACACCCACTTGCCCACCTTTTTTCACTTGAAAAAGATTTTTTTTCTGGTTTTGTAATCGGAAAATTTAAGAACATCGCAGTATGGATTACATTTTTCATTACCTATAAACAAATCGAGGTTAGGTTGTTGTGTTTAATAATTCTCCTTTAATTTGTCTGGTAAAATATGGAGAAATGTCATCATTATTTTATATTTATAAAATAATATTTCAATAAAACATCAAATATCTATACTGACAGTGAAATTTGATTCATACATAAATACATTAAAATAATGTGATTTTAATATTTGTTATCAAATACGAAAATAGTAAATTATTAGTTGGCCTAGGGCCTTAGGCCCCCGCAGTCTATGGGCCTCAGTGATCAACAACCTCCATCATTGGGTAGTTGTGCTACTGTAATTACTATACACAAAGATATGTTTATTATATATATTATGATATATTATGTATATTATGTTATAACCAACTCATTATCAATTTTACCCACTTCTTAAAATAAATCGAGTTAGTGTATTTTGACTGAATTCTGTATATTATATTCACTTATATTTGCTTGTACAATTTACAATGTCGACTGTTATACACGCCACCCGCAGAAACGCAGAACGTATGATTTATAATAAAATCCACTAATTTGTGAAAATAGTTATATATTTTTTCTTTCTGTAATGTACCCAGAATAATGAAATCGGTGTCGACTTCTTAAAATCATATAAAAACAAAATATATATGATTTCAATAATAATAATAAAAAATAAGTAGGAACCTTTAATTAATAAGTATTAAACATATTTAAGGTATGTGGTTAAATATAATCCAAAAATGTGAAGTCGAGATTTTTTGTGGGAGGGAGAGCCAGATGGGCATCAAATATTGTTGCCCTAGGGCGTTATTGGTGGTTAGAGCGGCACTAATATCAGTATGTTTATCATTATAGGTATAATGTATATATTACCGTTTCGTGGATGGTATTATGGTAGTACTTATATATAGTATATACCTATATTATATTATACATTACAATATAATTAACTTTAAATTATTATTTAACCTTATATAGGCAGTGGTAAACGAGCACTTTTAGAAGTCATTGCCAGGCGAAGCAAGGGACTGTCTCGAGGTCAAATCCTCTTGGACGGGAGACCTCTTACGCAAGCTATGTTTAACCAATGTTGTGCATATGTTGGCCACCGAGCTGATCTTGTCCCATCGTTGTCTGTACAGCAAACTCTACACTACGCAGCTAACTTATCTATTGGCTCACAGGTCAGTGGCTACGTTAAAGACTCCAGGGTCAGACAAGTATTAGCAGACTTGGCCCTGAGTCAAGTATCCAGACACAGTGTAGAGGCATTGACCGAAGGTGAGTACAGACGGCTAGTCATCGGGACGCAATTAGTCAAAGATCCAGGTAAAAACTGCTCTATACGAAATCCTTTATTAAATAACAGGTTATAGATAATAATATGGAATATTTTTGCACAACAGTGTTATTGTTGTTGGACGAGCCGACCGCTGGATTGGACCCGTTGACTACGTACTTAGTCGTGTCTATGGTTAGCAGCCACGCAAAGCGCAGAGGGCGGGCTGTAATACTCACTATGGAAAAACCAAGATCGGATGTTTTTCCGTTTCTCGAACGCGTTGCTTACTTGTGTTTGGGTGACTTGGTGTACGCAGGACCGACTAGAATGATGTTGGACTATTTCCGAGCGGTTGGCTTTCCGTGTCCAGAAATGGAAAATCCGCTCATGTACTATTGTGAGTAAAATATATTTTTCAACTAAAACTATACATCAGTTATTATGTATAGGTAGTTATTAGTTTTAAGTATTATGGTTGAACATTGGCCGCCGGACCACTCCAATTTGTTTTTAGTATAAATTCAAATTGTATATAATAATTTTATAAAATTAATCATGACGCTTGTTTGGCAATATTACAAAAAAAAAATGTCAGTAAAATAATGTTACTTTAATTTTGTATTAAAATATGTATTGTACGAGTACCTATTATACATAAGTACATTATTACATCGTAGCTTCAATAGTATTTTGTTGAATTAATTTAAAATGACCGTAGGTACATTGATTGTTAACTTTTCAAGTCATTGCAATGGTTTTCCAACCAACTAGCCATCATTTTTGTAAATTTTTTAATCATGCTTAAGACTTGCTTCCCGTAGTCCGATTTATGTTTATAATGATTAATGAATAATTAAAACTAAAACACAGGCACACAGCTTTAAACTTAACACTATTTTACATACAATTAATAACACCAGATATGCAGAAGCACTGAATTACCTTCTTCAATCAGCTGTTCACGGATTTTCCAGTCCTATTTACACCCGATAACGACTCATAACTAGACAACTAAATTATTCAGCTTTCAACAACTTTTCTACATACAAATAAAGAACAGTCTAGATATGTCACAGACTGTCCTATCTATTAGGTATCTATAATCTTCAATGGCTTATATCAGTTATATCTCATTAAACTTAATTGTAACGATCAGTAAAGGTGTGTGATACACACTTTACGTCTATACAGTACTATAAACAGCCATGCACAGGGCTTACTGAAAACCTTTTTATTTTATTTTTACAGTAATAGGGAACACACGATTTTAGAATACTAATAGTAAAGTAGTATACAAAAGAATTAACTACAACTTGTAAAAACCCAATTTAAAAAAATAAATTATTCGGCACGTTTATAAAATATATTTTAAAATGTTAATTAGATTTATTCTATGAATGACACATACCTATCATATCCAGTCAATACAGATACTACATACTACATTATAGCAAGAAAGTTCTGTGGATTTTGAACTTTAATGTAAAATACATACACACCATATTATATTTTATGTTCAGCAAAGAAAAATTATTTTTGAAATTCCATAGAAATTTGGCGGGGTTAAAAAAACAGTACCTACGTCTCTATCGAACTCTATGACAAATGTACAATATAACGCGTGTCTTGATATGACTATAAAATATTTATTACATTTTTAAAACATTTTAAAAAGTTCAATGTTTTCAAAATAAGCATGTGGGTTAATCTTATTATGGTTAATCGTGTTATTGACGAACGTTTTATGCAATAATCGTATGTAAGGTATTTAGATATTATAAAATAGTAGGTTGTTATAGATTGCATCATCTTCATAATAGCTTACCTAAATGCATAAATGTAGGTACATGGTTATGATTGTACATGCACATTATATTATAAATTCACATATACAATACATATATATGATACTTATAAGTTATAATAGTACCAACTACCTACCTACATCATATATATATTATTTGCGTAAGTATATCATATATAGGCACATAGCGTTGTTCTTGTTCTGGACGCTGGACATAGTAAAATAACCATTGCAATTTAAATGACTTTGATTATTTAATAATGTAACATGGATATTTTTCGTTTTAATATTTTATATTACTATATGAGTACAATTTATTAATGCGTGTTTATAATGCATGCATGTTTACAGTAGTTAAACATTAACAAAAATAAGTTACCCTACATACCAACGTAGAGCTTTACTGCTTATACAAAAGTATATAACTGAATATAATTTATTTATAATAACATTTTTTTTTTTTTAGTCTTAAGCCCGGCAATTGAGGTCACTAGCTATAGGATAGTACGATTATAGGGTATTTGGGACGGTGGGGAACGGTTGGAGGAACACGTTTTTGTGTCTGGCAGAACTTTATAGTGTACACCCGGGTGGGGGATGGCGGCTTCTCTCTCCGGACATCGTGACTGCCTGAAGAAAAATGCCGCTCGTGGCCGGGATCGAAGCGGCGTCGGTGCGCGTCGCCACCGACGTCTTAGTCCGCTCGGCCACTACGCCCCCCTTATATAATAATTATTATAATGTTCCATTATAGTGTTTCCAAGTGTATTTTAATTTTTAATACAATGTAAGAAACTCTAATTCCAAATACATTTTAAACAGAATTTGGAAATCTCAATACTTTGATAGTATATTTTAGCTAGGTAGTTTGAATCTATATTAAATATATTATAATTGAGGGGACATAAGTAATTATCTTAATATCAACAATAGTAATTAAATAATAAATATCTTAATACAAACAGTAGAAAGGACAGTAAATAAATATCTTAATATCAACAATCGTAACTATGTACTAATAAGTAACTAACGGACGGACACACTGCAGATCGAGAAATATAACTCATATAAGGTCATCTAAACTTATGTTTAGAAATCTAAAACGATGTTAAACAGAAGTGCCTACCCATTTAGTATAGATACTATGGGAATTGTCAATCTTCTAGTATGAAGATCTGCAGTGAGGCAGAGTGCAAGAAGTTGTCTTTAGCCCAGAGTAAAAGTTAATTATTTTGAACTCTTCTAGTTACTATTATACATTTATACTATGATAAATCTAAAATATAATCACAATTTTCCAATCTTAATATTTATACTATACTCGATATATGATATTTTGTGTTTAATAATTTTTATTACATGACGTATTAAATTTGTTGAGATACCTATAACTTATAAGACTGTAACCTTTAAGTATATTAAGATTTAGTCAAAACTCAAAATAGGTACGTCTAATAAATTTCCAGATTTTTAAACAATTGGTATGATTATATAACTACCTATATAAGTCAGACATAAAAATAATTTTATTAATATAGGCAAAATGTATTTAATAATAGCGTACTTAAATCACGGTTGCCTATAATGGTGGCTATGATAAGGTCGCATAATATGTGACGGAATCTGGAATCATCCGACTCTATTGTGCTAATTCTATCGTTTTTTAGAGTTAAGCGATTTGGTCATTATTTACTATTTAGTCATGGTGAATGTAAACATCTGCAACGTTGTGTATAATATTATATTATAACAAAATGCATACTAGGTATATGTATATTAAAAATCATTTTACACTATTATTATTAGTTAACAACTTATTATATTATATAAATATAAATATAAATTATAGTTTGAAATATTTCTGAAACGATTTCAAAGAATACACAGGTAGTTAAATTTTCATCATACGTTAATAATTTGAGACAACAAATTAGATCCATGTAAAAACATCTGTAACTAATCGCCAATGTATAAGACGTGCTTGCATTATTTCGAACAAAACCATATTATATAATACGCAGGTTAATCTATACACAAACATGATAATCTTGGAAGATCTCGTTATTAATGTCACATGATTTGACGTATATAGGCACAAGCACAATATTTATTATAAAATTATATGCTAAGTTGGTGATTATTTATGGACATTTTTAAATCTTATGCATTCTATTCGGTTACTCAATATATAGTTAAAATATAGAGGTCAGCGATATAAAAAAAATGATCGTTGATCATGCCCAATGTCCATTGTCCATAAATTATCAAAGATGATATTTATTTTTTTTATTGTAAAAGTATAACTCATAAAAAAATACTTTATCTGAATAACCACGTGTGTACCTGCACCGGATATGTTTTTAGGTTTTCGACATGGCACGTCGCAGGACGCAGGACATAATATAATAATAATTTGATATATTATACGAAATGTACTATGCGAGCTATCGATCATCCGTAATCTGTTCACAGTGTGTTTGTCAACGGTAGATCGACGATCTCGCGAGAGGTTCGTCGAGTCCAATGCACAAATCGTGGCACTGGTGGAGAAGTTTAAAATGGAAGGGGCGCCCTACAGGAAGTCGTCTGCAATGTCTGTGCTCCTCGGGTCACCGCCCAATGACCACCAACCCAACTCACATCCGTATCCATATTCGGCACAGGGGTCTTCGACCACACAAATCGGAATGACGCTATACCAGTAAGTCGCTGCAGAAATAATATATAATATAATATGAATACGTAACACGTTTTCGGTTCGTCGAACGATTGACGATTTATAATTGTATATTTTTTTATCGTACACCCGGAGAAAAAACGATTACACACCGCGAGTCATAACCAATAGGTTTTTCTTTACATTTATGACACGACTCGCTCGATTTCGCAACAATGACCCATTATTACCGTCGAACAACGAACGTCAAATTTGCAATGCCGTCGCCGCTCATTTTACGTTTTTTACGACACCGAAACGAAACAAAATCATTACACTCTGTAGCAATGCTATATACTTACCTAAAAATAATAATACGTTTGTATTCAATAACAAAAGTATTTATAAAGAAAAACATTACAACTGCAGTTATTTCATATTATATAGAGCTGTAAAATGTAGTTTTTTCGAATCACAAACATTATTATTATTATTGTACTCGTGCCGCATAATAAATACCCATATATACACATATTTACACATTTTCTAACGAATCCAATCACAAAAAAACCCATTAGGTACGTTTTCGTTTATATAGAGAGCACATTTAGAATATTTACCGTTAGTTTTTCGACTGGAATAAAAGAGGAAAAATGTTTTCTTTAGTACCCGCACAGTTAAATTTTACTAACAATATATGTACGCATACTGTAGTTTACCGGTGATATAACCTACCTAGTAAATTATATTCGGGAAAAAAAATTTTATAGGAAAATTGGAACATTTTATTATGTTCAACTTTTGCAAAACATCGATAAATCGTAATAAAATGTGCTGAAAATCTCAAAATTCATGATATATTGATATTCACTTGCGAATTGTATGTTACTTATAGCACTACTGGTTACTGCTGAAGACTTCTGCAGTAACCTAATACAATAAAATTACGAACGTATTTAAGTATAAATTTATGTCTTTAGTTAATGACTCGAAATAAAATTATAATTGATTGATCGTAATGCGCCTATATATCGATCTAAACACAAAACACCTACAACCAACGTGGTAACGTCCAACCTATATACAGCTATATTTGTGGTTTAAAACAAAATTATAATTTTCTACACAAACTGCAATATCATAAAACATTAATACCCAAATTGATCTTATTGGCCTTGCATATTATATATAAAAGGTTAATATTATAAATTATTTATTCAACTGACCCGATCAATTGTATCGTTAATGTTTTCCCACGAATGTATTTTTACATACTATATATTATATAGGTACAGTCATAGATTTATTATTTCACCTCGGGATAATATAATAATATTGTTGTAAATGGCAACCACCATTCTCTTTGGCGAAAAAATCCATGTCGTATCAACAGAATTGTTCTGATTTCAACCGCTGAAATGTAGGTGATGCTAACACGATTGTCTAAAAAAAATGTTCCCGCGGGATACTCTTACACAACTTGGTACAAACTTAAAATATACCTATAATTGACCCGGCATGAACGCATAAACTATATAGCTATAAGTAGTGTATACTACATTTAATAACATACTAAATAATAACAACAATAATTAACCGGACGTCTGGACATATATTAATAAATTAAAATGCAAATATTAAACATGAATTACGCGTATATTATTAGGTTCTGAGCGGTAATGGTGTTTATTTTTTTTATTTTTTATTTTTCAATTTTGTATTATTTTTATTTTTATAATATCATGTATACAAAATTTCTACCAGGAGTTCTTCGATTTCAACATATAGTACCTTATCTTTTAGAAAATTGGATCAAGATGGTACTTTAGAGAGGTCATTTTTTAATTTTATCAATAGTTATTTAATGCCACGGTAAAAACCACCGAAAAATTACGAAAAACCGCCAAAAATTGGATTATAATTTCTAACGCTTTGTGAATTACCATAGAAACGAATAAAAATTATAATATTAATTAAACTTACATGATATAATAATTAATGACAATATAAAATATCCAGACTGACAAACCGTCTCTGTTCAGAATCGTTTTTCTTATACAATGATAGAATATCATTGAAATCAAGTGTAATACAATCCATTATACAATGACCCACTTGTAACCTACTGTACAGCAGAGCAACTTACCCGCTTTTTTTATAATTTATTTTGCAGCATATTTATATAGAACATCATAATAATATATATATACAACATACTACGCTAATAGTACCTATATATTGTAAACAAATCATCATTTATGGGTATGCTCGGCCGTCTTTCGTCATACCCATAGTCCTTTGAAAATGAATAGTGTATTCATTTATCCTAACAAATAATAATTAACAAGTTACTGCTTGAGCACATAATATATATGAGAGGATTAGACCCAACATTTTGAAGGGTTGCGATTTTTTTATAAACAATTTAAATTTTAGCAATTGGTTGTTACATGACAATAAATTTGTGAAAAAGGTATAAATAGGTACCTATTCTAATTGGTTATCGGCAATAAAAATAATTATTGTGGCTTGGCGTTATGCATTAGCTGCTAGTAACGGCCACAGCTACTAGCTCCCGGATGGGTGACCACCCGGGTTCATAGTAGTTAAAAACTTTGCCACACATATACACGTGTTTGCTATACCTACCGTAACAACCGACACAATCGTAAAATAACAAATTACCGTACCAACTTACCCCTACCACAGTTCATAACTTGTAGGCAACAGCTAATGGCCTTGGTCGCCGGGCTTAAGTTCAATAAAAAAAAAAAAAAAAAAATTATTGTTCGAAAACGAATTTTATAGTTTTTTTTATTGGTACATTTAAATCAGCAAACCAAATTGTACTAAAATATTTTTAAACATAATGTTATATTATACAAGTAGTACAGATAAAAATGACGATAGCCTTATTTTTAAATGAAGGCGAGAGGATGAAAAAACTTTTGTCGCCTTTAACATCTACAATACTTCAGCTACAGCATCAGTTTAATATCTACCCATATAAAATATTACCTACCCACTTCGCTTCAATACCATGGTAAAGCCTTTCATTTTTAAACTATATACTTTTTAGACGGCAGTTCGCATCCACTTTCGGATGTTCCTGGCAAGCTCTGTTCTACTTGTCAGCACGACTCATCGCCATGCCAATCGCGTTCCTATTGGTTTGGATATTTTTCCATGACATTAAGGTAAGTAGCCGACGGTGTTGCATTATTCTATTCCCCTGAATGATTTACTAGAGTATAATTTTCACATTTGTACCATTTAGGACTACCAGACGACGTTCATGTCCCGCAGCGGTCTGCTGTTGACGTGCATAACGACGACGTATTTGACTTCGATATTCACTACGGCGTACACGTGTAAGTAATTAATATACAATAATGAGTAACGACATAAAAATACATAACGAAGGTACATTGAAGATAGAGAGTTACAAAATTAATACTAAATACTGATACTTAAAAACTAAAGTTAAATACAATTATACAATGGAGAAAGAGAGAGAAAAAAAAAGAAAGAAAGAACATTTTCAAAAACAAAAATAAATAAAGTTAACCTACGTTATATTTAAAGATTCAAATAACCATTCTCCAATTATTTTTTTAATATTATTATGTTTGTAATTAGTATAAATATTCTTCTTTATAGAGAAAGGCATAGAATTATATTTAGTACCAAGATAATTAATAAATTTTTGACCAATTGATTTTTTAAATAGTGATATTTTAACGTCGTAAGATCGAAAAGCTCTTTTATTGTTAATATCACAGAATAGATAAATAAATATAATTTTAATCATCCCACTGATCTAAATTTTTAACCACCCACCATATAGCAATTTTTTTTTGAATACAAGGTCAACTGGTAATACGTTAAACTCGTATTAAAGTATATAAGTTATGACTAGTTGATTCAACATAATTTGTTTTTTGGAGACATACGCGCACTATCTGTCATTGTTGAAGCAATAAAGGTTTTAGTGCGTTATCAGAGAGCCCTCCCCAGATTAATAGACCATATTGAAATATTGCTTGATATAAAGCTAAATATAGAGTTCCCATAACATGAACTAATACAACTTTACTTAGGTAACTTATAGAAACTGTTATTTAGACTTCGAAGACGCATAACTATATGTTATTCACATGGAGATTCCATTTAAGATGTTTGTGAAACGTTAAACCTAGATATCGGGTACTAGATACTCTAAATAATTTTTGACCAACTGTGTCATTACACAAAGTGCTATTTTCACAGAAATGTAAGGTTAATTTATCAAAATTATCTTTAATATTATTTGTGCTAAAGTTCACAAACATAGTTTTTTTTTTAAATGTATAGATAACCTCTTCTATGTTTAAAAATTCCACAACTATTTTGGATTCATGAGTAGCTTCGGTACTAACATCGACCCAAGAGTCTCCATAAAAAAGTAAATAGGTGTCATCTGCATATGTTTACTATTCATCCGTCAATATTCAAATTACACAATATATGATTTATGTACAAAATGAATAAAAGTGGACCTAAAACACTTCCTTGAGGAACACCGAAGTTTATATATAATTCATCACCAGTAATACCATTAATCCGAAACAGTTTGCTTTCTATTTTCCAAATAGCCTATGAACCAACTTAGACTTGTTACAGTAATACCAAAATTAGGTAAAATATTAATTAATTTTTTATGGTTAAAAGTAAATTGTAAATTAGAGTTTTTTGTGACAACGAGTTAAAGGAAACTGATAAAAAAAGGGGGCGGGCGCCAAAATGTGTGTACCCAGGGCGCCAAAATCGTAAATACGCCACTGAATGTGTCTGCTGTCTAGTGATGAAGTTGCATTACTCGTTGGGGTATCTTATACTACCTAGGTAGTCAATTTCAAGGTGGTTCATGTTGTATCGTACAAACTTTGAGAATAGTCATTGGTCACATGTTATTGCGTTTTGATTTAATTCTGAATATTTAAAGGACGTATTATAACTGTATCCATAATTTTAAAATTATTGTAAGCGGAACAATAAAATATATGCTATAGGACAATCGTCGTCCACGAAACCCCTATTATTTAATATTTTTAATATTTTTTTTTATACCACATGATTTTTAAGAATTTCAGACGTAGGCGTCATTATGTCCGTTTATAATGGACCTATATTGGTAGAGAAATTATGTTTGTGTTATCAATGAAAATTAATGTGAACAAACACGTTAGGGCAGACAGGACTATAATATAATTTATAAATGCCATACATTAAATGTATTATTTTGAGAAAAACAATAAATTACTCACAGGCTAAACATTCATTTTTTTTTTCATACATCTGTGATCGACTGCTTGCCAAGATAAAAATGATTATTATCATTATGACAATATACATTTTTATATGCTATCTACTAATTTTTAATACTTACATGAGTTACAACTTATAGTTTGGTTATTATTTTAAAAAAAAAAGTTAAATTAACAGAATTTGTATTAAAAACAGATTTAAAAAAAATCTATCTTATCAATAATCGATATACAAGGTCAGTAGACTGGAATCGATCTGTAGGCAGCTGTTTGTGATTAAAAAACGAGGTACCAAAAAAATGTTTAAAAATTATTCTTAAAACACTTAGAAAAATCACTTGTCGAGTACAATAATAATATTATATATTAACCTATACATAACATTGTTTTTTTAATGCGTGTGTACATTATGTTCCTGAACTATAATTATCAAATATGAGTACCTACTTGTTTTCGAGTAATTTGAAGAAAAACAAATATACCTACATGGATATTGGCTACAGACTACAACAATTACTTATACTGCCATCGAAGTTTCAAACGTTATCGTCCAACACACATCTAAAAGTCTATAATGAGAGACAGTTTCGAGAATTACGTTTTAAGAAAATTCTACCCAATTAAAAACAATATAGGATTTCCAATCAATATAAAATCAATTCTGCTACGTCTTATGGTTTGTTTCTAGCACAATATAAGGACCCAACATCTAAATATTGAATCTATAGATCTATTCCACAACTAGGTAATCTCATACATAATACTCCTCCGACCTCGGTGTCTTGATCTTTTTGATCCTTCAACCTACGCTATGAAAAAATAAATATTTATATGTAAGTACCACATTCGGGTATGTCATCGGGCAATTTGCTCATTTTATGACTATCTAAAAATTGTAAACTTATATTTCATGTCCGGTTTGACATTTATATTTAACGTGAGAAGACAGCTCGAACGAGGAATCTCACGACACTTTCTATACAAACGAACCGCGGCTAACTAGTAGGTAACTAACTACTAACTAGTAAGTAGAAGTGAACCAGTGCGCATAAAATTTATAAACTAATACCATATAATATACACTACTATATCCAAATTATGAGGACTGAGGAGTGTCGACGTCGTCGATTCGATGATAAAAAAATAAATAACAATAATTAAAATATAAAACACGAGGGCGTGACGCGTAACGGTCTTGGACCGCGGCTAGTCCTAATATAAAAAGATGATTATCAGGTAAATACATAATAGGTATATTATCTTAAAATATTTTTAACTATGGTAAAATTTAATCATACCTACTAATAATATATATATATTATATTATACAATAGAATCCCACATATACAATATTATGTTTAGTGATTACGTATACGGATGATGAAGTGTATGTTTTCATGGTTTCAGTCGCTCCTCACAGGACACGATACTATCAGGAAAACCAAGATGGCACGTACAACGGACCACTTTTCCTCGTCAGTTATTTCACTTTCTCGTTGCCACTCGCTTTTCTCACCGTCTCCGGATCGTCAGCCATACTGTACCAGTGAGTACCGGACATTGCATACGTAACGAATATTTTATAATTTATATGGTGTATATTATATGCAGACAAGTTGAATATATAATTAGTAAAACAATATTATAAATAACAGTATTTATAATATATATTATATTTATATAAGTACATTATTATAAGTTGTTGACGCCGCTCAGCTGATTAACGCATGTAATGTAGGTATAGTGCGTATAATACCAGCTGAGAATCGTGCAAAAAAAAAATTGAACAATTGGTAGATAAATCCCATTGTTTGCTCCTAATTAAATCCCATTGTAAGCCACTATATGCCTAGTAATTTATTTTAGTATGCCTACCTAAATAGGCTATATGGTTTTAGTTATAGTCTTTTAGATTTAGACTATAGTAGCAGTGGCTCTATTACAATGAAAAAACTGCGGATGCTTAAGCCTCTTATTTTTTTTAGTTGGTCCCCAAATGGCATAAATTATGTGGCCATGTGGGCGCTATTTTAAAAACTTGGGATGATTGGCTCCCCCGTCCTCCAAATTTCGCCTATGTTTACTGTTTAGTAAGCTAGGTACTTATAGCAGGTATACTGTAATACAATTAATTAATTTTTAATTCGTTATCACTATTACCACTAATCACAATTTGTAATGTCCCGATTTCAATTGAATAATCAATAAGCTGCACACATTTTCTACGATCGTCCCTCGACTTATTTTTAAATGTAGGTATGGGTTTGAAATCAGCAATTTAGCATTTACATATGTCACTTAAGAAATATACATTACAGTATAATTATAAAAAACTGTATTGGAAAAACTTGATGCGTAAGTATCTACATTTTTTCATATGGTAGGTGTCCTCCTGAACAGAGGGAAGAAGAACTGCCAAGTAAAAGTAGAGTACCTCACAAGTGACAACCAAATAATACCATAAAAATAGGAATTTTCCATATGAGTTGGATATGTTGTGTCTACTTTTTAACTTCACGACTAATTTAGCGGTATTTTAATAGTTTACCATATAATATATTGACTTAAGAGGACGTAGTACCGGCGTTTTCAATACCAAAAACATGCTCGCTTAGATTCCAAATTTTGCACTCCAGAGTGGTTTTAGGACATAAACACCTATTAACAAAATTAAAGATAATAATATTTTCGAGGGCCCCACGTAGCCTTTTTTCAAAAAATTAATTTTTTGAAAAGTTACTGTCATTTTAACATGTTGAAAAAATCATTATTTTTAAACGATGTACTGAGCTTAATATTTGGAACAAAGAAAAAAACCTACGTGGGGCCCTCGAAAATATTATTATCTTTAATTTTGTTCATAGGTGTTTTTACGATTAAGCCACTCAGTAACCCATATTATTGGAACGCTCAAAGTATGTTTTATAAGAAAACTGCAGAAAATTACGCTCGGCAAGTGCTGCGCCCGTAGTCAGTGGCAGCGTTCGATACTAGCTGTGCATACCACCACCCCGCGCGCATTAACGGCGGTACCGCACCGTGGTCAAAACAGGTTCTCTATCGCAGCCGACCGCCCGTGCATAGTTTATAAATAACCAGATAAGAAAATGATTATTATATTTGTGACAAATAATATTTAATTTGGTTCGATTTTATATTTTGTATTCGTATCCGAATTTTATACAAATAAAAACTATACTTTTGTTCTTCAAGTAGGTAATAGTGTAATACGGCTTATTGAAGCGGTTTGCAATAAAAATACCTATTATAAAAATTGTAGAGGAGAATTTTTTTAACAATCGTAAGGAATCCGATTTTTGATATCGTATTCCAATCGTCCAATATCGCATGATAAATTAACAATTTTTTTTTTTTTACTTTTTATCGATTAATTATTTAACTCATTAATAAAAATATAAAAAATCGGGCTTATTTCGATTATTAAAAAAATTCTTCTCTCCAACTTTTATAATAGGTATTTTTACTGTTAACTGCTTCAATAAGCCGTATTACTTGAATTACGAAACCATATTTTGTTCACTAGGCCAAACTCTTCTTATCAGAATTTTATACAAATAAAAACTACTTTTGTTCTTCAATTAATACGGCTTATTGAAGAGGTTTACAGTAAAAATACCTATTATAAAAGTGGTAGAGGAAAATTTTTTTAACAATCGTAATAAATCCGATTTTTGATATCGTATTCCAATCGTCCAATATCGCATGGTAAATTAACATTTTTTTTTTTACTTTTTATCGATTAATTATTTAACTTATTAATAAAAATATAAAAAATCGAGCTTATTTCAATTGTTGAAAAAATTCTTCTCTAAAACTTTTATAATAGGTAGTTTTGCTGTAAACTATTTAAATAGGCCGTATTACTTGAATTATCGAACAAAAGTGGCTTGTAACAAAAAATGGAGATATCCTACAAAACAATTATATGAAGAATTTAATGTACTTAATATAAATAAGCTATATATAAAAACCTGTACCATTTTCCTAAAAAAACATAACATGTTATCCCCTGTAAATCACAAAGTTAACACTAGATATGCTACTAATAATTATTCGCTAAAATTTTCAAAAAAAGCTGGATGTCGTAAAGTGTATGATTTTGTTGGGACACATATACATAATATAATGCCCAAAGAAGTGGCTGATATGTCTCTTTCTATTTTCAAAAAATACATTACCCATTGGCTTCACCATGAATACGATGCTACAATATTGAAGTTTCAGGATTAATTTGTATTTTTTTTTCTTTTTATTTTTACACTACCATTGTCTGCCTTTCTTTTTAATTTTTTTTTTTTCTTTGCTCATAAAACTTTTTTTATATTATCTGTTCAAACATATATTACTGTTCTTGTGTTATTTTTTGTTTTTTACCATGTATTAGAGTAGCTATTTAAGGAGAAAATGATAAATGTAAATTTGTTGTATATAAGATATCTCCTAGGCCTCCACACGAGTTTTACTCAGTGAGGCCTAGTAATCTTTACCTATATTAAAATAAATAAAAAAATAAATAAAAAAATAAAAAAATTTGGGTATGATAAAAAAAAGAAATAGGTAGGTACTCAAAAAACCATTTATAACAATTAACAGAAATCATTCAATGTAGACAATCGAAGCCACAACCAGGTAAAGTGGTACATATTATAAATTGAATATAATTTGCGAAAGGATATTTTAAATAGTCCATACCATATATTTGGCAAACACTCTAATTGTGCCCGATATTTTTGCACTGGAAGAAAGTTATACGAACTGAATTTGATCGACGAAGTAATGCAAAGTGGTTTGATGAAAGAAATTACAACTGCACTTAGACGTGTTGCTGATAATGCAAAAAGTTTATTACTTGATGTTGATAACAACATCTGCGAACAGTTTAATAGTGTCATTAATAAGCACATAGGCGGTAAACGAATTAATTTTTCTCAAAAACAGTCGTACACCACTAGAATATATACTGCTGTACTGCTATAGTATCATTTAATACAGGTGGAAATTATATACGAGAGCTTCACAAAAAGATAACAACCAAAAGTCCAGGTACATTATTTAAAAAGTACCTACAGTGAGTTTAATTAATTAATTTTAATTTTATAATATTATTATGGCATGAATTAGAATTTAATTGAAATTTTGAGTTTTTTACAACAACGCTTTCAAATTAAAATTAAATAAATACTACCAAAACTTATATTTCACATTTCACATTTTTATATTTTGGTATATCGTATTAGCTATGAGTAAATTAAAAATTGAAATAATTTGTATATTAAAGGTGTATAGGCACAATAATAAAATAAATAAAATATTTCATTATGAATTATTTTTCAGTATTTATAATGTATGAATAGTATTAATTTATTATTATTATTATGTGGGTAATTGTTTTAATATTATTATATGTGTATAGGAATCATAGCCAAAAATTTTTTGAAGCATACGCAGGGCCGGTTTTAAGGGGCGGCAAAATTATCTCAGATAAAATAAACAAAAAATTAATTTTTTATGTAAAGAGAAAGATTTCTAAAAAATGATACATTTTATTACTATTTATTTTTTAAATTCACATATGCATACGTTTTTTTTTACCTATATTTTATCATTTTAAATAAAGAAAAATAAACGTTATTAACTAAGTAGGTAGGTACCTACTAGGTATCATGGAAGATTCTAGGTAGATAGTACCTAAGACCTAAGTTATAAATTAGTTACTTATGTTTTTTTGTATAGTTTACCTACTATTAAAAATCTAATATTGGAATGCATAGGTACCTATAGTTAAAATTGCTAAAAATTAACTGCAAATTAAATTTCAATGAGAAAGGGAAACATAAAAAGGTGGGCAAGTGGCCAGTGGGTGTCGCTCTGCTGTACAGTAGGTTACAAGTCTGTCACTGTATAATGGATAGTATTAAATTTGAATTCAATGATATAATATCATTGTATAAGAAAAACGATTCTGAGCGGAGATGGTATGTCAGTCTAGGTATAAGACATAATATTGTATACATATCTATGGTATTAGAAAAAAAATTGACCTATAATAGGTAGTAGGTACCTATAATAAATTCCAAATTAATCATATCACAATATCCATTAGGTGCTGATAACGCGTTATACATCAACAACATACCGTGATACTATCATAGATATATAATAGTACACTTTAGAAGTTTCAAGTACTCACGAATAACATTATTCAATCACAACAAAATAACTAAAATAGTTATTCTAGGTTTTTTAATATGTAATTTCGTCCAAATTTGAATTTAAAATTTCTGTAAAAAATAACTGTGTTCATATATTTTTTAGATTTTTTGGTTACAGTATGAACTATTTATGAGAACCTTTGTTTTAAATTTGCAATCCTTAGCTATAAAAACTGAACATTTTATAATTTATTAATTACAATGATTTATAATTTTCGAGATTTTGATACATTTTGTCAAAATTCGATCTTTAAATGCTTATAAAAAAAAACTGTGCCTATGTATTTTTAATATTTTTCAACTGCTCTTGTAACAATATATCAGGAGACTTGTATTAATTTTTTACACTTTTTGGCCCAATAGATAAAATTTTATTGATATTTATAGAAAAAAAACTAAAAAAAATTGAAAGATGTAAATGTCCATAAACAGCTCAAAAAGAGTAAAAATATTTTCAAAATTGTATGGTGTATAGGAAATGCTAATATGAATATTCAGTGAAATTTTCATGTATCTAAAGTTATTCGTTTTTGAATTACAACAAAATAAGGAAATCGCTACATGAGAAATCCAGTGAATATTCAATGTTGTAAAAATTTGAATTTCAAACGCTCTTAAAAATTTAATTTGACTTTCTTATATACATTTTTTTTTTGATAAGGGTAGATAATCTTATAAGGAATCTTGTATTACATTTTCAAATCTTAGATTTAAAAAGAAAAATTTTTACGAATTTCTAACTCAAAATAATTTGCTAATTTTAGTGATTTTTCGATATTTTGTCAATTTTTGAACTTTAAATGCTTATAAAAAAAAACTGTGACTAAGGATTTTTAATACTTTTCATCTGCCTTTGAAAAAATATACTAGGAGCCTTGTATTAAATTTTCAATCTTTTTTAACCAACAAATAAAATTTTATTGATATTTCTAGAAAAAAAACAAAAAAAATGGAAAATGAAAATGTCCCTAAACAGTTCAAAATAAATCAAAATATTTTGAAAATGTTATCGTATATAGAAAATGCAAATATAAACAACCAGTGAAAATTTCATGTACCTAAGGTCATTTTTTTTAAAGTTACACCAAAAACTAAATTCAATTTTGTGAAAAATCGATTTTGCGTAATAATTCCCGTTTTTCCTTAATTCTTATGTTGTTTTTCCCGGTGCTTTTGAAAATTACTGAGCATTTTAAATTTTGACCTCCCAATGCACCAACGATATTCACTTTCCAATCGAACAAGATACTGAAGTTGAAAATCAAAGCATTATTTCTACTACTTATCGTGTACACAGACACAAAAAAAAAAAAGAAAAAAAGAAAACTATAAATTATATTATACTTGTTGAACTAATATTAATTTTTTTCATGGTTAAATAATAGGAAATTGTTGCGCGTTACCCTTTTATTATATTAATATAGGTAATATGATTATAATTTCTTTTTTAAATATAAATGTGGTGATAAATAATATAGGTCACATACTAAATCTATTTATTGATTTTATCCATTTGATAAATTCATTGGATTGTGTAATACTTATAATATAGTAGTTTGTACTTTGTATAGTAGGTAATTTTAAACTAACAGTTACTTATAGAAATAATTTTTTAATAAATTTATGTTACAATTTGTTATAATTATATTTTACAACTATACATTTTAAATTAGTTATTTTTCTCAGTCAATGTACCCGATCTCTAAAAATTACAGAATGATAAATAAAGATTTTAGTGTACCTATTATTATTATCATTACGAGTAGGTTACCTATAATTATTATATTACTATATTAGGTATACGTTAGGTAATAGGTATACCTACTACAAACATATTATTAATTTAAATAAATATTTGTAATTACTTATTATCATATTTTAATATAACATTAACAGTTGAACTTAAAAAATAATACACGGTAAATTAATATTAATTTAATTGCGCTGTTTTTATTTTATTTACCATTTATTAGATTTTACTATAAGTATTATATTTAAATAAGTAATAATTCAATAACTTCAAATCAAGCTATGTTATAATACAGTTTCTACGGTCTACATGTTGGGACATAAATTTAAGTAAACAGTATCTTAATTTATAATCTGTAGTTCGTAGGTACGCGAGGGTATTGAAAATATTACGGCGGCATTTGCGTATAATGAATTATATAATGATACGAATGGTACTGGACGAACGTTCATAGACAAATAAACGGCGCTCCCGAAGTCCCGAACGAGCACTCGTCGCCGCCGTCGGCCGGTTGCGAATAGTAGGCGTGACTTAAACGCCGGGCGCTTGCGGATCGTGAAAACACCTAACAGCGCATCCTCTCGGTCGTTGCATGCGTACAGCTTTGGGTGACACGTCCTCTTAATAGCGACTATTTTGTTCAATGTTATAACGTAATTGTATTCGCATAATAAAATAATACAATACAACGACGGGATTTTTAGTTATAATTTTATTGATGTTTGTTTTTGTCAAGCCTGATGAAGTTCGACGACTGGACGGAATTGAGTCTGTTTGCGGCCGTGCTGTTGAGCTGCTACCTGTTCGCCGAACAGCTGGTCGTCGCCGTGATGGCCATATCCAGGAACCCTTACAACACCAGTGTGTTTTGCATATACATCGTCAGTGTTATGATCGTGCTCGGCAGCGGAATGTTGAGGTACGTCGTATAGGTATCATAAATAAGGCCGTGCGATTATTTTATACCCATATTATCGATAATAAGTAGGTAGGTAAATAATGAAATTGATTAGGTTAGGTAGCTATGTAGATAATTAACTGATTAATAATCCAATTATATACTTTCGATTAATATCGAATTTTGATTGTATCAATTATTTTTTATCAGGTATGGAAAATAATCGATTACGTTTAAAATAACCGCGCAGCCCTAATAGTAATAAATGGCTGTGCGACTATTGACGACCGGTCAATAGGATTAATCGGGCGTGCCGCCTACTTGTATGTAATTTGCACCACATCTAAGTATAATTGTGGTAATTTGGGCTACTTTTTAAGGTTGTAATTTGCACCACAAAAAACTAGATAAAAGCACATTATGTAATCTGCTCAAACTCATACCTACAAAAATTGTATTTCGCTCCACTTTAAAATGATTTAAAACTAATTTTTATGTATTTTATTCATCGATCAAGTTCATCATAATTGATATATAATTCAACAAAAACAAATATGGGCAAGTGGGTTTCGATCTGCTGTACAGTAGGTTATAAGTGGGTCACTGTAATGGATTGTGTTAAATTTGAATTCAATGATATAATATCATTGTATGAGAAAAACGATTCTGGGCGAAGACGATCAGTCAGTCTATGATATTACTTACCTATTTTGATGATATTATTGTAAATAAAGTAATTAACTTAAAACTATTTATGTAGAACCTCGTTTTAAATTTTCAATCCATTGATATAAAAGTTGAACATTTTATACATTTTTATCTACAAACTATTATTAAATTTTGTCAAAATTCAAATTTTAATACTTATAAAAAAAAAAAAATTTGGGGGACGAGGTGGCCGAGAAGTCTAAGGTGTCGGTTGCGGCACTGCCGTCGCTGGTTCGATTCTCGGCCACTGGATGGCATTTTTCTTCGGGCAAGTCACGGTGTCCGGAGAACAAGTGCCGCCATCCACCACTCGTGGCATGGCAGAAACCTACGGGGGCCCCACTAGAAATTCTGCCACAACACACATACGTGTACCAAACCTATCCAAACAAAAACTAACAGTTCAACCTCAACCCAATGGCCTGTGTTGCCACGGGTCATCTAATTAAAAAAAAAAAAAAATTGTGACTGGATTTTTAATATTTTTCATCTGTCTTTGAAACAATATATTAGGAGCCTTCTATAACATTTTCAAGCTTTTTTACCTAACAAATAGAATTGTATTGATATTTATAGAATAAAAACCTAAGAAAATTGGAAGCTGAAAATGTCCGTAAACAGCTCAAAATAAAGCACAATAATTTGAAAATGTCATGGTGTATAGAAAATGCTAATATAAACATTCAGTCAAAATTGCATGTATCTACGCTAATTTGTTTTCGAATTACATCAAAAACCAAAATCGATTTTGATTTAAATATTCCCATTTTTCCTTAATTTTTATTTTATTTTTCACGGAGCTTTTGAAAACGACTGGAAATACTTTTGACCCCTCAAAGTACAAACTAGAAAATCGAAGCACTTTGAGTGTCCTAAAAGGTGATGACAGACACAAAAAAAAAACATCATTGTAGAATCAATACATTATCGCTCCACTCAGAATCTAAAATACTAAAATGTACAGTAAAATAAAAAGTGGTATATACCTTCCTAATGTCACTTTGTGTATAACTGAGTAGGAACCTAATATTTCAGTTAATAATAAATAATAATAAATATATAAAAATCTGGAACTATAATAATATATTTCATTGTTCATGTTATTAACTGTTACAGTCCATGTTATTTATTCACGTTTTATGTGATCTCAGTTAATTTATCAGGTGAATTTCAATAATTTAAATTGAAAGTTTGGCCATAATAATTAAAAGGATGTCACACCCGCATGTGTTGTCTCCGTCCTACAAACGCACAACATAGCAAAAACTGTTGTGAGCGGGACAACTTTCATCTTTCTGTGTTCTTAGTAGTGGCTCCAAAATTTCTGAACATATAGGGTAGAAAATTACCTATGCAACAGCGTGCCTATATTTTAGATACCGTAAATACAATAAAAGTTAATTGCTTCTAAACTTTTCGTTTTTTTTTTTGAATTTGCTTATAAAAAATGATTGGATAGTGCTATTAAAAAAAAGCACTCTGTGGCACAGATAAAGTTCTTATTTGCGTGTTGTGAAGATTTGGTAGTTCTACAACTAATATGGTGCGAGAAAAGTTGTCCTGCGCAAAACAGTTTTTCATATTTTGTACATTTGTCAGACGGAGACTACAGTCATGCGGGTGTGACGTCCTCTCAAGGGCCGGTGCGTTTTTTAGTACGAAAACAATAAACATGTCTTACAGGAAAAACTCTCACGCCCTGTACACTGTAGAATAGTAATCTTCGTTGATATAACTCACCGTATCAACACCCCCTAAACAGTATCGAGCTGTATATAAGTGGAAAAGTATTATAATTATTATAAATAAGGTAGGTAGTAAGTATAGTAACTAAAGTATAAAATATAATTTTGAAATTTTATAGAATTCCGGAAAATCGGAAAAACCGGCATCGACACCGTTTATAAAAAAAAATACATAAATCTTAATTGAAAATTATGTGCAGTAAATGCAGAACGTCATAATTTATGAAATTATTAACAACGCCGCGTGATCATAACTAGGGTTCGGATTTGAAGGCAAATGCCTTTCTTTTATTAATCATAATAGAAAAATAATTTTTATACAAAAATGTGTTTCATTTAATTTCTTAGAGAATGGATCTTTTTTTTTTTTTGCCTTTTTTTGCCTTTTTACTTATAAATGCCTTTTTGCCTTTTGTTTATTTTGCATTTAATTAACTGATATAACTCAAGTAAGTTAATATTTAAAATTGTTTTTAACTAATTCTTAGGACAAACCTGGTTAAAGAAAAAGGTACCTAATCTATTTATACAAAATAGCATAAACTTAATGTAGTTTAGTTTCATGCTCATTTTTAATTTGTATTTTTCTCAAAATGTGTGCATTTAAGTGTTTAAAAAATGTTCACTATTTTATTTTGTAGTATATTTATGAATTGCCTTTTTATATAAATTAAATGCCTTTTTTTGCCTTTTTTTACATTTTAAATGCTTTTTTTATTGATTATATTGCCTTCAAATCCGAACCCTAATCATAACTTTACAATCAAAATTTAAGACACTAAGATAGGTAGGATAGGATATAGCTATAGGATTTTGGGCACCGACAATGACACCCGCGGTACAGAACAATCGTTTATTAGAAGTTGTTCAACTTGATTTTCGAGGATGAAGACGTAATGAAGTCGATAATTATTAATAGTCACAGTTTTATATTTATACTACAGCACTATAATTAACCTTTGTTGGTAAATAAGTGGCACGCCCCCACCCAAAGAAAAAAAAAATCGTTATTGCTATACAGGGTGATTCTTTTATCAAACAACACTCATCATTTGTATATTATCGGTTATTAGTATTGTTAGTTATTACTTATAATTATTGTTATATTATGTATACATATTTTATAATATGTGTGCTACCCGCTCGGCACGTAGCGTATCATTGAACCGCCGCCGCCGTCCTGTAGACCATTATATAATTATTATAATTAATACTCATCATGAACCGATCATCTTTTTCCGTAGATCATACCGGGGCATGTCGGAATGGCTGTCGTGGGTGACTTACGCCACGCAGACCAGGTACGCCGGGGCCTATCTGACGGCCCAGGCTTTCGACGGCCGCCAGCAGTACAACGGGTTGCCGCAGAGCGCCGAGCAGAACTGCTCCATACCCGCGGCCGAGCCGTTCGTGTGCCGGTACCCGGACGGAGCTTCTTACGTCAACGAACGGTACCCGGCCACGGTGGCCGACCCGCAGATCAACCTGGTCGCCAGCTTCGTGTTCCCGGTGGCCGCCGCCGTGTTCAACATCCTGCTGTACGTGGCCCCGCTGCCGTCCTACGTCAAGGCAAAGTTCAGGGAATGATCAAGACTCACTACCCCCCCCCCCCCCCGTCCCCTATAAACACCACAATGTGGGTAGACTTCGGTTCGGTTTGTATCCGAAGCGGCAGATACGTCGGCCCCGAAGGCAGTTTCCTGTCAAGAGGGCAGTTTCTTAAGGGCTGTTTTTCTTTTCCATCATAATTGAATATATTATACCCATAGCGCCAAAGAAGATCAATTATGAAGCACTGTCGGTGTACGTCACATCTGAAATATAATATTATAATACGTGGGTACCTACTAATGTCAACTCCACACACATTGAATAACGACATAAATGAACCGATTTTTAGTGAAGTGGGCGACATAATAATTCCATGCGGTAAGATGTGATGGAATAATGCAAGCTTCTGTTTGAATTTTCTTGACCAAATTTTTGTATTAATTGTATCATTTGTGACTCACGCAGTTACTCACATTTTTATTGTCAAATACTTAATTGAATACAATTTTGTAAATATTTAGAAATATATATATTTTTAGTACATATACATGTATATATATTAATATTTTTTTAAGGAAACAAAACAATATAAATTAAAACAAAACAATAAATTTTTTTATATCCTATTTCATTTTTCTACCACTTATTCTTGTGATCGTTGACTAGAAGAATCATACACTGTTTGTTTACGTTGTCTATTAATAGTCATAGTTGGTTTCAATTCTGCTGTGACTTCGGAAGACCTTCTTTTATGTTCCAACTCAGCTTCCATGATTACTTCAAGTTCACTCTCCCCGTGACCTTTTTCTGCCTCATCGTTACTTACACAATTTGTACTCGATGTTTCCAGTGGACTCTGACGGCCAAGTATTGTGGCTGGTTCTTCATACAGCTATTAAAACAAAATAAGTTAAAGCAATTATTAGTGTCATATATTATCAATTTTATGTTTATAAAATATTTACCTCTTTGAATGGTGCATCCAAAAACAGTTCATGCATATAACGTCTAGCTTGAATGTGATAATGGTGGTCGGCTAATAAATTACAAACATCTGAATAAACACATATGTCATGAAACAAGTCGCCATACATTTGTTTCATTCTGTTAAAAACATTAACAAAATGTACATGTTAATAAAATAAAAGTGAGAATGTATAATCGTAAAATGTACTCGAAAGGAAATTAAAAAAAAACATACTGTAAAAGACTCTGGGTAGACATTTTGTACAAAACAGGATTTGGTAATTGTTCAACAAGTTTTAAAATATCTCGTCGTAATGCCGAACGGCTCTTGGTAATTCGATCAGCTAAAGTTGACCTCTGAGCCAAACCTAATAAAAATGTAATAATATTTAGAATATTCATAATGCACATAGTATATTTAAATTTAACAGGAATTCTGGAACTAACAATTTATTTTATTTTTTTAAAGTTTTTGTTCTAAGTAGATGTAAATTTAGATTTTAACTCGCTTACATTAAACAAATAATAGAAAATGACATACAACCTATTTAAAGTTAAGATGTTACACTTACTACTGATATCGGAACTAGCACCACTTTCATTGCTTCCGGTACCAAAACCTGAAGCTTCGTGAAGGCATGAAGACTTATTATGTTGCCATGGCAATAGTATTGGACTTTCTCCTTCAACTCCCATACCATAACTACTTTCAGTCTCTAAAACAGTTTATATTGAGTTTAGATTACGGCATTATGCTAAAAGAAATTAAAAAATTATTTTAATAATACCAGTTCGACATCGTCTAAGGGAGCTAGACGATACTTTACGATTACGTGTTGCAGATCGATTGACATGTTCATTAACTGAACATAACATACACATAGATCGGTTATGACTTCTTTGTCGTCTAATGGGTAATGGATCAGCTATAACTTCTTCGGTATCTGAATCATCAGTACTGAGAACTTCGGAACCTAATAAATATAATATAAAATCAATATTTTAATTAAATATTTTAATATTCACTATACTGCATACTGTACATATTTGTAGTGTTTATATAAATAAAATATTTCAGTGGGTACTGGATACCCCATGTATGTTCTGGGTCACTCATCATTTCTAATTATTTTCATTGTATTAGTAACCCTGCCAGTTTTCACAATCTATATTTTTTTTACTTATTTTTTAACCAAAAGTATACTGATTTTACTAAATTTTTATCAATAACATATTCTATAATTTTGGAACTTTAGTATACAAATGTCTTTAATTTCCTTTACTTTGTTCATGTTTGTATCAACTTTCTATACAAATTGTTCAATATATTCAATATTAAAGGTTCTGGCCACCCATTTTTCTTTATTTTCATATTTCATTAATCAATTTTTCATATAAGAAATAACTAATACATTAACGTGAGATAATTTAATAGTATCTCCATATATTTTCTGTGATCTATAAAACGTCATATTTTAATCATCTAAAATAGCTTATCCCACATAAATTGATGATTTTTATTTTATTTCCGGTTTTCTTATTAGTATAAATGCAAGATTATTGCCCAAAAAAGGTGATTCTTCAAAGTTTGATTTTGAAACATATTTAGTATATTTATTTCATTTAAAAATTAATTGTATACCTAGATGTTCGAATATGATCATTGTTCTTCTAAAAACAGAATTATTCAACAGTGTAAAGAAATCATTTTCAACTTTAAATGAATGAGTAAATTATATTCATCTTGAAAACTTCATTGATTTTTAAACTGATGAAAAGTTTATAAAAAATATAAGAAATGAATAACCCAGAACATACAAAGGTATCTAATTATTTGATATGAACAAATTAATAAAATGTTCACTTACCAGTTGATAAATATTTGAAACAAGATGAATCTTCATAGTCAGGAGTAGGAACAGATTCAGATTCTTTTTCTATATTGGAAAAAATCAAACCAAGATCAAATGGTAAAGCGATTCCGCCATAACATAACTCATTATACTGATCTATAAAAATTAATTACCATAACAATAAATTTGACTTAATACAAAATAATAAATTTCAATATCTAATCCAAGCATTACCTTTTTTAATATAATGGCAACCTTTGTTTGATGTAAGAGAAGACTTCTCTGATTCTAGATCAAATCTAAGAGCCAAACATGTAGTTATTCAAATTGTATATTACAGAAATAATGGAAATTAGATTAAGTTTTTTGATTTATATTTTATAAATGTGCTCCCACAGAAAATGTTCTTGTTATTTTAGTTCAATCTATTTTTAAATAGCTAATTTTTTTGGTTTTTATTTCTTAATTTCTAATTATAAAAAATAGTATGCATATTGTGAATTATCTTAAATGTTATGACAAGTTAAACATGTTACCATTCATTTTTTAAAGCAGTGAATGTGTTAAAATGCAAATTTTTTTGATTTAATGCACCCCCAGTCATCCATTACTCACTAACCAACCGACCATGAAAATGTATGGTCAAAAACTCCCCCACTTTTACATATACCTACCAAAAATATATTCAATTGAAAGTTAAAGTAAGCTTTAATATAAAATAATAAAAATTTTATATATTTTATAGGAAGCTGGAGCTTAAAAGTAATCCACTTCCCCAAAAAATAATATCACCAGTTGTTCATATTTACTTACTGTGAATAATTTGTATTTAGCTTTAATTCTCTAGGTCGGATTAATGGAGACAATCTGTCCATTTCTTGGTCAGCCAACATATCAAACATATCTGCTGCAGATGATTGATGCTGTATTGTCATACTTCTTGAATTTTTCCGACTCATACCTTTCTGTATCATTTTTAATGTTCTATATCCAAAAGAATTTCTTCTTGGCAGTTTAGAACCTTAAACATATAAATAAATATATTTATTTTATTTTTTGTTTAAAATGTTATTAACCCAATGAAATTACCTTCTGGTACTGTGGACATTTTTGAAAATGTTTGAATAGGAATAGTAGACAAGGAACTGGAACTAGGTATTGGGCTTAATGTTTGATATCTGTCACTAAATAGATAAAATATATTTTAAAATTTAAAATTTAAATAATATGAGAAATAGAATAAAAACTCACTGGTAAAAACTGTAGTCTGCATGACGTGTACAAAGTCCAGATTCACCAGAACTAACTCCACTGGTACTACTGTCTACTGTACAACTACTATCAGACCTTAACCGATAACTAGTATACCTGAAATATATACATTTTTAACAGATAATAGTATTATATTTTCAAAAAAATAAAAACTAACAGATTTTCAGGCGGTGAGCTGGCTTGTTCTAGCTGCTGACTAACATCAGTTGTTTTGCTTTCGCTCAAACTTCTTATATGTGATTGATGACGGGACCATGATGCACAGTTTGCAGGCAAAGTGGACCATTTTTTTTTCCCAGAACCTTGAGCACTTGGATCCCAAGCAGTGTCATCTACCCAATCACTAACAAGGCCCTATAAAACAAATATTTATACATTTTGTTTATACATGATTTTAATTAATACTTACTTGAGAACTATCAGAAGGAGTTGATGCTAAATTGGGATCTGCTCTTTTATCTTTGATTTTATAAAACTCATCTTCCAAATATACCCTATACAGAACATTCCAACCTGCATTTCTAAGATGAGCGGCTCCGGCTCTATTAGAACTAATCAAAGCCAATGCATATAAGGCTGTTGCTCGCACCGAGTATACCGAATAAGAAATTGCAGTCTTACATAGAGCTTGTAAAACTCCATTGTTAGCCAAATAACAAGCACCTTGGGGTACACTACCAAAATGACCAACAGCCCACAATGCAGCTTTTAAATGTAATTGGTCTTTAGTAGGGGATTCTTGAAAAAGGTTAAGTATCAATTGAGTTATGTTTCGAAAATAAACATCTTTGACAACTGCTTGAAATCCGTTTTCATGCACAGCTATTTGAGAATACAGGTGGGCTGGTAAGCAAATACTTGGAATTCGATTTCTTGACATGTCACTTGTGAGCCTAGTTTTATAGTGTCCATCTTCATGACGTTGATGAAGAGTTAATTGATCATGTAGCTCTCCTTCAACTATTAATACATACCTAGGAAACAGGATAAGACAGAGATTGATAGAAAATTACTTTTTAAGTATAGCTATTAAATTATACTACCTAAAATTGAAATGGGTTCCCCAATTGTGCAGCTGATTTGAAACGAAACTAGATTCTGACAAATATTTGTACCCGGCAGTATCTGACAAAAATCGAACAAGTAAAAGCAATCCTCGGTCTCCCAACTGAAGAATGTTTGGTCTTAATCCAATTAACATTTTTAAATATTCCTAGAAAAATATAATAATATTAACTAATTAGTAATTTACATATTATTAACTTTTTTCTAAATTATTATGTACTGAATTATACATTATAATCACAAGCTTCGTCGAGAGCATCTAGGGCAGCCATAGATACTACAGGATTATCATCAACAGTTTGTGATATGAGCAATTCAAGTATCCAAAAACCAGTTACAACTACATCTTCTGCACGATGAGCATTAAATCTTAGAAGTATACGTAAAAAACGAGTTGCATACAACCGAGATTTTTGTTGAGAACAGGAAAGAACTCGGCCTAATAATACTCTAAATAAAAATTGCACATACATTCATTAATTATAAATGAATTGTGATATATACTAAAAATGTTTTATAAGTAATTATTCAATAAAGTTTAAATATAGCGCTTATTATTTAACAATCAAGATAACCATAAAGGTAACTTTTTCAAATAAAAATATGATATTACCTTGGAAATGAATCAGTCGTGTAATCTAAGCAGGAAACAATAAGCTTGACATAACAGCATAAATGAGTATTCACAGCAATATTCAACAATCTACAAAAATCAAAAGTAATTTAACTAGTAACAAATAAAGGTAGAAAAATGTAATTAAGTTTTCTTAGAGTTATATTGAGGATGTTAAACATGCATTTGTTGTCACCGCCCTACATACGTATGACATAGCAAATTTTCATTGACTATACTCTATTCCACGAGTTAATGATCACTTTTCGTGTATCACAAATGATTCTCGATTGGTGGGTCGTGAACCACATGATCGCTCGAACAAAGGGTAGTTGGTGGGGGATGCGCAGCACTGACAAAAATCAGTCGGTGTACTGATTATTCTTTCATGAAATAGACTATAGTTTCAATAGTGTGCTTTAGTTTTGATATTAGAGTGAATATTGTCCTATTATACAACTTTTATGTAAGAACATTATCTGTGCATAAGCGTCAGCGATTTTAAAATTTTTAATTTTCAAGCAAAATATGGGTATGCAAAATATTATAAAATTAAATTAAAAATTAAAAAATTAAATTAAAAATTATCATATCTTCCTTGATAATTAAAATATTGAAAATTCTATGACGCTTATGCACAGATAATGTTCTTACATAAAAGTTTTATAAATGTTGTATGTGTGTAAGACGGAGACAACCAAACATGAGTAGAGTCCTCTTAACCAAGCACTGAGCAAATTTAATAAATATGCTCAATGCTGAATATTTATAGTGTAACTAATTATAAATGTATAAATGTTTACTTACAAAGGAAAAATTTTAGTTTTATCTAAACAATATCGCCCTCTTTCTGTAGAACTTACTCTACCAAGCATTAGAAAATAATGTTGACTTAATGTAACTGCTAAACGTTGTGGATTCAAATAGCAACTATAAGAATAATTGGAAGACGTTAATGCTTCTAATTGCAAATGAATGTCAGTCAATAGAATATTTAAAAAAGTTTCTCCGCTTTCCTGGAAGAATAAAAATAATAATAATAGTCAATTTAATTATAAATATAAAATGTATGAAACTTTAAAATTAAATGTCTTACATTTGGAGCATCCATTAAATCATCAACTAAATCAAATAACGCTAATGTAAATAAATTCAATGGAAGAACTTCTGGTCTAAGTTCAACATCCCCATACATTTTTGATGAAGGTTGAAAATACTCAATTAATCTTTGCACAAATAAATTGTAACATATATCATCTAATTTATTTACATCTTTAATTCTTGTCTGAAATAAATGACACAGTGATAACCAATACAATAATAAAAAATTCCTATAATGTTTACCTTCAATGCAGAACGTATTGGATCCCATTTCCAAGCTACTGCTTCTTTAACAATTAAAACCCCAGATTCTTTGACAAAGTCTTCACATTCTTTAGTCATTACAGTTTGGGCTCCTTTATGTTTTGACTGTTTTTTATGTGTGACATACCTTAGCATACTAACTTTTGGACCAAATAAATTCATTGCATGGTACAAGCCAATAGTAGCTGGAGTAGGTTCATGATTTAATGTTTTGTACAATTTCGCTAAAGCAGAAATAGCTGCCATGGCATTACATTTTTTTACATCATCTCCTATAAATATTTCAGACTTTTCAGGATGGACAGTATTGACTGGATAAAATATTAAACGATCTTCAGATGAACATAATACTTGATCATATTCCTCAATTGAAGTGCTGTAGTTAATACATTTAGATGATGGTCGACCTTCTAAAGCATAGGCTACTAGATCAGATAGGGCAGGCTTAATATTTGTTGGGACTATGCTATCAGCTAAGTGAAGGAACTCTCCTAAAATATAAATAAAAATAAAAATTATCATTTTTCATTTCATATTATTATTAATTAATACCGATTTAAACTTACCAAGAAGAATTGTGGACTGCACAGATAAAATATTGTCAGATGTAAGTATAACTTGAACAAGGGCTTCATCAAGTTTAAGTTCTAACAAACAACTTACTAGAATAGATTGAGGCAAGTTAACTAAATTAACCCTAGAACAATATATGCAAAAAAAATTATTAAATAGATTTAACCAAAACACAAATACATTTTCAAGTAATGCAATAATATTGGATGTTCATCAATAATTTACAATACAATAATTGAATTTCATAAAACTTATTTAAAGTCTCTATTACAATGTTACAAAAATCAAACATATAAACATTTTGATGGTAAACAGACGTTTCGACTCCATCAAAAAACTGAGTTTACAAATATTTGATCCACGGAACATTTGGTCTCGGCGTATTTGGATTATAGGATTATTTAGTTATTATTTTCTTTGTGTTCATTTAAGTAGGTATTATTTAAGAATTAGGCATCCTAACATAATATTATGTATTGAATCTTTAAAGATATACAATTCGTCTGCAAACACTGCAATACCCTGGGAACCAAACATCAAATGGCTAATAACTCCCAGGGACCAAAATTTCCTATCTTAACCCTTTGACGAGGGAATATTATTTTGTATGAATTACTCAGAAAGTGAATTGCTTTTATCAAAATATTGGTAGTTTGGTTAAAATAAAGACGTCATTTGACATCTTAAATTTATGTGTTCAATTTTCTTTTTATTGGATAGCCAATAGATAGCAGCACATACTTAATTATCTTGTACATATTGATAATACCAACATGAATTTATTAAAATTTTATTAAAGACAGTAACAACAGAAATCTGAAATACGTCAATAGACGTCTTTACTCTAATAGGCATATTAAGAAAAAACGTCAATTGACGTCTTTACTCGTCAAAGGGTTAATATTGATAGAGACAAAACATCAATAACTCAATTTTTATGGGAATAATTAAAAAATATATAATATATATTATATAGAATACATTTTTTATATTATAGTAGTATAACACAACTCACCTTTTACTACTCAGACTTGGAATAAGATCCATTGCTTCTGTGTATACATATCCACTATTTAAACCAAATTTTTCTCGATACTTGTAAGGATTGACAGATTCTATAGCAGTGTCCACATCGTCTACCCATTCAGCAGGGCAAAATCCAAGGATTTCTCGTAATAAATTAATGATAGCGATCTTAAAATATACATAATACATAGTACAAAGGTCAATTGTTTTACAATATAAACAGATAAAGTTATAACTCACCCTAGTAGTAGAATTTTTAACATGCAAAGCACGTACAATGGATGATAAGCCACTTTTTGAGTGGTCTCCAGATGGATCACAAAAATACAATACTCCAATCCAAGAACGTAACAGGGAAACTAATGTCCCATGAGCTGTTTCACCATATGGATTTTTATCATTTGGCCTAGAAATTAACGATAATAATAAGCGAAACATCTCTATTTACCCAGATACCCTTTATTTTACAATTTAATAATAACATTGGTGATGTCAGAAATCGAGGGTCAGACTTAGTTTTAAAGTTATAACTTATTGAAATTGATAGTATTATGGCATACACCCAGCATGGTCACTCGCTCACTTGAATAACTAAAATCGAAGACATCCTTCAACTTTTTAAGTAAAACCACATTTGGTGGGTCTCGGCCTTCAAATAGCTATAACTTCAAAACTAAGTCCGACGACCAAATTCTGACTCCACCATTGTTGTAACTAGTTATGTTGACAAAAAGTTTCAAAAAAAATGGTGTCCAATAAAACAGAAATATACCTAATAAATAAGCAGGAATTGAGGAAAATTATCCCCGCCAATAAACCAAGACCACAGACGTATCGTCAATTATTAAGGGGATTTGGTACCGTGATTTTCTGTTTTTGTCTAACACACGCCCGACATAGTATTTTAGACGTGTTTTTTGCCAAACATACCAATTGATCCAATTAAGCGATAAAAATTCTGAGAACAGATTTGAATTTGTCATAAAGTCTACTTGAAATCGACTTTCCCACATTTTTGATACTATCCCCCGAATTTTTTAAAATGTCATATTCAAAAAGAGTATTTAAAAATTCTGTTTTTTAAATTTTTGGAGAAGTTAAAATCAAAAAATCAAAAATGTGGGAAAGTCGATTTCAAGTAGACTTGACGACAAATTCAAATCTGTTTTCAGAAATCTTATCGCTTCAATAGATCAATCGGAATGTTTGGCAAAAAACACGTCTAAAATACTATGTCGAGCGTGTGTTAGACAAAAACAGAAAATCGAGGTATCGAATCCTCTTAAGGTAGGATATTTGTTTACCCGGTATATTAAATCAAATTTTATTTTTTATTTTAAATCTTTATAAAAAATGCAAAATGTCAGTATAATTATTAAATATAAATTAATTTCAATAACATTTTCATGAGGCAAATTTAAATGATTTAAGTAAATTATACATAAAAATATAATAAATTTTTAAAAGAAATACAATACAATATAATAAAACTATTATAAATAGAAGGTACTTATATTTTATATATTTTAAAAATAATAAGTGATTTCATGTAAATAATATTTAGACATTGGTATTGATTATTGGTACCAGATTATTGTATTGACAATTTAAGTTTAAAATAAATAATGACTACTGAAATATTAAAACATAAATAATAATTTAAATGTATTATATTTTATATAGTTTACTTATACTATTTAAATTTAAATGATGAAAATTAAATTGAAATTATAAATAGTTTATGCCAATTAAAATTGGACTGATTTAAAATACCAATGGACCAAACGTCATATGGCTAAATAACTTCCTATAACTCTCAGGGGGCATATTATGTCCTACCTTAATAATTGAATGGGACAAAACGTACGTTTACCAATAAGCCAATATAATTAACACAAATGTTGGAAAAATAACTTACTTAGAAATTGGATTAAAATCAGTGAAATGTGAAGCAAGTTGACCAAAATCAAATGATACTAATTTTCTGGTATCTGGATTATTTAACATCCAAAGTAATGTTCCTAAGACACATTCTGCCATTCTCAAAGGTAGTTCAGATGTAATCAGAACATGGCGTAAAGCTTTCAATCCACAACCAACCACAAATGCTTGAGGATTCAACAAACCTGATAAAATAATAAAATAAAAATATAAAATGTATACATAACTAGGTACCAAATATTGAACTAAATGTATTGAATTAATGTACATAGTTCACATAGAGTAGCCACACAAGCCCTGTGTAGTTGATCTTTGGAAGGTCCATGTGAACACATTGCAATAGCTGACAAAGAATGAGTGAATGCATTAGGAAATTGTTGAGGAGAGACAGTGCATGATTTACGAATGATTCTTAATGCTTGTAGACGTTCACTTTCATTATCAAGCAATAGTTCCAAACTCCTTAATTAAAATATAAAAAAATAATAAAATATTATATAACATAAATAATAATGTGTAATTAAAAGTTTTTTACATTTACCTGCATATAAGTATTGTTAAACGTAAACGTACAAGAGAAGTTATATCTTCAGGTTTTTTAATACAATGACGTATTGCTCTTAAGCCAGCTGCTCGAACATCAGAACTATCACTTAACAAACTGGGTGTAACGCTGCAACCAGATTCATAATATAAATAAATAATAATCAAATGAAAAACTTTAATCGAGTCAAGGTGGTTTTACACATAAAATTGCTCCACTGTCATAAATTCCTAATTGAAACATAATATTTTATTTATATTACTCACCAGCACATTATTTCAAATGTAGAGAAACCCAATACTTCACTTCTATTTTCAATTGCATCTGTTGATGATAATATTTTGACAAGTGAATTCAATAGACACAATTTTTTATTGTCATTAAACCCTTGTGTTTGGATTAAGCTAGAGAATATCTTTTTAAGTGATTCTCTAGGTTCTGTAAACATATAAATCGTACCTATTAAGATGATTGTTTACATAATAACACAATCAATTGTGATTGTAACGTACTAGACACCAGATCCAACTGAACAGCTTCGTCTTCAAAATCGTTTCGTCCTAGAAAATATTAACATTAGTTTGCTTAACGGTTGAGCACACGTCACAGTGCGGTCGGCAATCCGACTCACCTCTTGATCTATTTGAGTGCATTTTACGATTCCAATGCTTCCAATCTGGCATGTCAGTAGCCCTGGGTCTGGTGTAGTTAACATGTCATCTTCAGTGGACCGGAAACTCGACACCGACAGACCCTCGGTGAGACGAGCGGTCCAATGACCGTCATCGACGAACCGCCGAACGGATCGTTTAAAGAAATCCGATCATATGGAAATGTACGAGTCGGTGTGGGTATATATTATATCATAATATGTAAATATATCTGTTTAAAATATGACTAAAAATTGTCGGTTTATTTAAACGACGACCAGTGAGAGTGTGAGACACACATAATAATAATAAATAATAATACCAATGTTGTTATTAACCTGCGATAGTCACATCGTAACGTTATTATTATAATGATACACTGTTCACCGCGCTCTCGACGTCGGTAAATCCGTCGAAAAACTCATCGCACACAGACGACACCTATAAAATGTACAGTATAAATCACCTATGCGTATTTAAACACGGGAGGTGTATACATACAAATGTCACTATAACGTGCCAGGTAGCGGTGCACCGTGTAAGTGTGTGTGTGTGTGTGAGCACCGAGCGACGAGCGTACGTACAATAAATGTGATATAATAATAATAATATTATAATTATTTGTGTACTGTGCGTGCGCGCACGTCGAGTTACTCGTGAGTGTGTGCGTAGTGTACGTATCTATAGATATATCTCTGGAGTCTAGACACGGGAGCGCCGTTTGCGCGGCGGGTAGCGGGCTGGAGAGGACGTCTGGGCTGCCGACGCTCAGAGCAACTGATAAGTGATAAGGACGGAGTGTGGTCGTGTCTCGTTCCGCGATTATTTCGCGCGATCCCATTGGCCGTCTCCCGCCCGTCGGAGAGTATCGCACTATAAATTGCCGCCGCATCTGTCTATCTATTTGTCTCACTGATATATTAAGTGATTAGTGACTGACCATTGTCACTACCGGGGGGCGGGGGCGTACCCGGGAATTTTTCAACGGGGGGTCCAAGTATATTTTAACATGTAAAAAGTATACAATCAGTGGTTTGCACCTAAAGCATTTTAAATTCTGTCAATAAATGGGATGTCCAGACTCGAACCGAAGTGAATGTGTTAAAATCCTAGTAAAAATGTATATCCTGAAGATTTAAACGAGACGTACAAAGAAGAATTGGTTTTCTTCAAAATTTTCTCAATTTTTTTTCCAAAGAAAATATATCATCTTTTACAAATATTTTAAAATGTCTGACAAATTCTTCCCTTTTGACAACATTTCCATATGTAGAAATAGTATTGAGAATATTTTGTTTTATGGCTTTATTAATGCAAGTGCCAAGTGAGGATGGTGAACGATCATTTTCTGTATTAAAAAAAATGACAAATTATCGAAGGTCTGCTTTATTTGATAAAAGATGTGATCACTATCCACATTGAGTATAGGCTAGTATAGCACACGCTCTTTTACGACAAATCGATTGGTCGGACATAAATACGCAATAATATATTATATACATTTTCAGTTTTGAGATCAAGGTAAAAATTAATATAAGTTGCATAAAAATGTATTCTTAATTTTTAATTATAATTCTCAATTAATTATATTTAAATATTTAATAAATAATGTGTTTAAAAAAAAAATTCTAAGTATAAATTCATTGTATAGGTAGCTACTATTTAATATTTTAAAACTAACGGAGAAACGTATTAAAACATATTTCTGATGTGTTTGTGTAGCAATAGAAAGAGAGGTTAAAATCATATTATATATTTTTGATTGTAGGGGTGGCAAATTTTATATGGAGGCAATTTGGCTTAATGCGATATTGGAAGCATCCATGCTCCGTCATGATCTGCGTCATGTTGTAGGTGAGTGGTATCCTGGGAAGAGTCCTCTCAACCAGCCATCTCCCAACACCCGGTAAGAGGCGACGGGTCCACTGAGCTTTCGGTGAAGAACACCACCATATCTGCCACTGCATTATTGTGACCTTTCAACCTTTGGCACCTTTCTCTCTATACTTTAAATTTTTTCACCTGTTACCGGAAGATTTCCGGTGGGCAAGACGGCGTTGAGCGCCACTCGTATCCTGCACCTTTAAGCCTATAGGAGGTCCACAGAAGGCTGCAAGAATTTCAGCTAACATAAGAGCAGCATCGTCTGATACTGTACACACTGATCACCCTCAGCGCGGCTAACCTCTGAGGTCGTGTCATTAGGTATCTGGTATACACACAACACACTATACATCCTACAGTAGGTACTACACCGTACACAAGCCGAGATTAAGTTAACTTTGAGCCTAGGGCCAAATGACAATAATATTCGTATACATTATCCATATTATATTAGAGGAAACGTACCCTTAGGGGCCCACTATTGTTGGTTATTCGTTATGGTCCCGGGTTCATGGCACTCTACCTTCCCTTAATACAGGCTTGACCGAACGACGTACACGTCAATAGATAACATTTTAAGTTCTTACTTCTTATATAGTTAAATAGTTATATATCTTATACATTAGGTATCGTAAAAATATTAGAAAACAACGTTTACGGGGTTTTATTTTTGAAGGAATCATACGACACTTTGACTTGACAGCGGATTACGTGATTTTTAGATATACGAGCCATGATGTGCGTGTATTAGTTTAAAGAGAAAAGTCTGTGCAGGAATTAAAATTGAGAAAGTAATGAAAAAATTAAAAATTATATTATTCATTTGTCAACTCTCTACTCCGTCACAAGCCTTGGCTTAAAGGAGTATATAAATTTCTTTATAAAAAAAAAAAAAAAAAGAGGCGCGTTTCAATTGCGTCTGTTGTTAAAGTGTCAAATACCATAGTACAATACTACAATCCAATGTTCGGAGATTTGATTGAATTATTTGAATTTTATGCCAATCCTGCCACTCGAAATGAACTAATTAATGACATAAATAAAAAATATTATTAAATTAATTTTGGGCGAGACATTTCCATGTTTTGGTCAAATTCATTTTTTCCCGTCATAAAATATAAAAAAAAAAATCTGCATCGATTATTGGTGTAACAATGAGACATGTCTGACTGTTATTTATGGAGTTATGATATGTCTTGTTGTTTTGGTGCAACAACAAGACATGTCCAAGCAAATTGAACTTATGATTTGATTATTGAAAAAGTGCCTACTGTCAACGAGCTAGTGGAGCCCTCTGTAATGACACCGGAAAATGAATGCGAGTATCCGGAACCTACCGAATCTGCAGGTGATGCTCAAGTAGAATAAAAAAAATGTATTTAATAATTATTATAAATTAACTTTCTTAGTAATAGATTATAAAAACTAGAATAGAATATTCTATAAATATTATAATATTATTCTATATTATATAAATTAAATTAAAGCAAAATATCAAATTTTCGAGGCAGGTTTGCAAAATTATTAATAAGTATTGAAATACTTCGATGAATCGACATGAGGGCTAATCCTGTTAGTCGATTATCACTTGTACTATTTCTCAAATACTTCTCAATCTTTTTAGAGTTGAAAATGATCTTTCAGATGATGCTGTTAATATCTTTAAGGTTACTAATATTGACATCAAGCACCATATATTTGGAAAAAAACCAACGGATACTTTATTTAAAGTATCAATAGAGACTTTGGACACTCAATCTGAGGACTTTTTTCCATTTTTCTATCCATACTTTTAATTCTGATTCAAATGTTTGTAACTGGGTAAAACATGTTTATAAAAGTCTATACATTTTTCAAAATCATTTTAACTAGGTTTAAATTTGTTGAGGAGATTTGTAATCAACTTTTGTAATACAGAAATAATTTCATTGTGTTTAAAAAATAGTTCCATTAATTGATTTTTAAAATAATCGATAAATAATATAAATATTGTTCGTTTATAATACTGTTCCGGTGATTCAGCTGACGTATTACTACGAGACAATTAACTCCCAGTTATTCGAGGTATTTGAATAGTTTCATCCAATATATTCAATTTTTGTTCGACTTCTAAAAACAATGTTTGAAATTCTTTATCGACATTTTTGCGAATAGAAGATAAAACTTGTATACAATTTTCAACATTTTCACAACATTCAGATAAATCACAATTTACTTTTTGTAATGCATTACATAATGACAATGTAAATGCAAAAAGTTTTTGTATGACATATATAATGTTATTATAAATTGAGACGTGAATAATTAGATAATTGAAAAGCGAGTTGTGATGTTTCTATATTATGATTATATTCTAGATTATGTGATGCATAGGCTATAACTTCTTATAAATCTTTGAATCTTAACATACTTTCGTGACGATCTACCCAACTTGTTCCACACATTTTTATAAGGGTACTTTGTTGGGTACTTGGAATATGTTTTTTTATACATTCTTTTAAAACCTCAGATCTCATTGTAGATTTTCAAATGAAATTTATAATTGTTGAAGCTGCACCAATACAATTACTTATTTCAGGAATGGTACAAGATTTGCCTATCGCTAAATTGAGTGATTGAACCGCGCAGTGAACGTAAAACGCATGTGGTATTTCATCTCTAATATACTTTTGGACAAAACTATATAGTATATACAAGCCACTCATTACACTCACCCGATCATATTATTGACAGATTAAATTTTCTATTTTAAGTCCTAGTTTTCCTATTTCTCGTATAATTGTATATACCATACCTTTTCCACTAGCATCATAAATAGGAACAAATTCTAAAAAGTTTTCTCTAATAAAACCATTATTGAAATATCTTAATCACAAAGACAGTTGTTCGATGCGAGATATATCACAGGTTTCATCTGCCAAAATAGTAAAAAAAATTGATTGGTTTACTTTCAACATAATTTCTTATTTGAATAAGAGAACCGCATATTTGTATTATCTCACTTTTAATTATGGGACTAATGTAAACCGATTTCCCTGATGAATTCATCAAATGACTTTTTAGTGTTAAATCACCACTTAATGCTCGATATCTTAACAAAGCTCGAAAGTTACCATCATTATTATCTTTTTCGCAATTAAAAGTAGGCC